CAGTGTTGCAGGGATCAGTGAAAAGGTAGTCCAAGTGGAGTGAACAAAAGTAAAACACATGGTAGAGAAAAGCCCATATTTGATGGGAAGGCACCATTAGTACCTGTGACAGCACAGTCTGTAATGGATATTCATCAGATAGATCTCATAGATATGTCCAATCATCCATGTGAACGAAATGGCATTACATACCGCTACATTCTAACTTTGGAGGACATATTTTCAAGGTTTATATTTTTGCGTGCTTTGTCCAACAAAGAACCAACTACAGTTGCTGAAGTTCTACTTCCTATTTACAATTCCTATGGTCCCCCCAGAATACTTCAATGTGATCAGGGCAATGAGTTTAAAGGCGATCTCCCTATACTGTGTAGCAGTTTCAATATACGGATGATCAGAAGTCGAAGTAGACATCCTCAATCTCAGGGGAAGGTATGTATTATATGGGTGTGCATGTGTGTGTGTATGTATGTATGTATGTGATGATTGGTGGTGGGGGTTTATCGGTGTCAATCCAGGCTGTTTCTGTGTAATTTTTAGTTAAACATTAAATTGTTCGTTGTTGTCGGGTAGTGCATTTTTGAATTTCATGTAAATAAACAATTCAACTAGCATTTTTCTTCTTTAAATTTATAAATTGCTTGTTGAACAGTGGTTGGTACAATCCAGTATAAAATTATTGATTGCAAATTTTTAATCATTCTTTGATGTATACTACTTTTAGGTTGAGCGTTCCCCATTGCCAGAAATGGACAATAGAATCTGGTCAAGTAGGGATTTCCTGTCTATCCCATTGCAGTGACTATAATTAACATGCAAAATTATTCAAGACAACGGATGATGTCATAGACTTTAAAGGTCTATTGTTTAGCTTAATTGAGAGTCTATTGTTATGTTAAGTAGTTCACAGCTTGGGGTTGGAAACAATAGTAAGTGAGGTAATCTTTTGTTATCTTTGTTCTGTGCCCACTTGTATTTGTTAGCTGATCATATGAAGCCATGTAATAAATGGTGTTAGTTGCCAGAGAACGAGATACCCTTAGGTGCACTCTTATGATGGCATTGAAGACAGTCACCTGCTATATTACTTAATACAAAAATATATGAACAGACTAATCTTGTAAATATCATTGTGGTCATCAATGGCGATTGGTATGCAAATTATGTTTGTCTGACGCATTACAAAACAAAAGTCGCGACTGTCGTGGAACAATACACAACTCACGGACAGACAGTGTGCTGAAACCCCTCTTTTATTAAGAGGAAAAACGGTCGATTCAATATATTGATCTTGTGGCCAGACCTTCAGCATCAAAAGCAGTATGGCGATAGTGGTTCGCGTTCGAAAAGTGGGGTGATTTAACATGGAATAACGACATAAAATAAATCTTGATTCAGGTTACTTCCTGTTGTTAATTGGATTAAAACAGTTATATTTGCCCACAAGTGGATCGGACATCTGTGTAAAAAAAATGCATGAATTTCAACTCTAATTTGGGCAGCGAATACTGCGTCTACAACTGCGTCAGCTGTGTCGCCATGTTCATTGAACCAGAGAGTATCCAGAACGAAGCAAACAAACTTTAACAGTCACCTGCGTTACTGCATTTTCTTATTTGTAAAAATAGAGTCTGGCACACAAATACACATCGTCCATTGGTAATACACTGGGCCAGTGTAGAATTTATCATCAGGTTTTACGGCAAGTTGGGCATTTAATGGTGGAGTTTTAATGGAAACATCTATAACATATCGAAAGCTTGGAACGTCACCTGTCTATTACGAAGCAAACAAAAGTTAAAAAATGAAAAATATGAACTCAAAATTAAATTTTGTTTTAATATATGTTTATGCAATGCATTCTCTATGGCACATTCTGTGATGTTTATTTGACTGGGGAACACTGGATAGGGCGGAAGTCGGCCACCTTGTCCACTCATTTCTGGTGATGATCGAACCATTAAATCTCGACTAAGATTTGATGAATTCAGTAAGCTATCTGAAACGAAAGGTATAGAATGGGTGGACAGTGTTCCAGCATGTGAACAGCTGTACAACAATACATATCACCAAGCTATAAGTAAGTGATTGGTATTTGAACTTGTGTTATTTGTTCCCACTCATACCGTGGTGCACGTATAAGAACACATGTTTATTAATTCTCATACATGATTTTGTACAAAGACTGATGGTTACAATACATAATGATATGAACATGAGTAATTTATAATTGTTAGATTAAATGATAACTGGCCATCTCCCTTTCCAAAGCTGAAGTTGAACATGTTTGTTTGTCGACTTTGTCAAGCGGAGCTAATCAAATTACTGATTGTTCACGTCAACTTTTTACTTTTTCGACTTCTTCTTGAAAACCGCAAGTCTGATTGTTTTGGTACTTGGTGTATATTAACCTTGGGTAGACCTCTTTTAGATTTGTTCATTTCGTGATGATATCTTCAATTCTCTTGATTGTCTATCAATTGATGGGGTCTTCAATTGGTTCATGTTCATATGCTTGAACCTGTGTAACGCTGTTCACAGCTTTAAATTTTGATTGTTATTATAAATATCCCCTACATCAAATTCATGCCTTCAATTCACTCTGCATACAGGTCATCTTTCGTATACTGTGGTACAGATTTCTTGTGAAATGTGCATAACTAACAGCGGAGCTATCTCAGCCGAGAGGCTGCTTGTTATTTATATAATGCATATTAAACTGAATCGCCCTTGAATGTGTTCTGCCTGTGTTCTAAATGGTACATGTTGTGTTGAGCACATAACAACTAGGGTTGAAAGAAGTGGACAGTGTAATTTTCATTGACTTGTTTCAACTTTTTGTTGAATGTTTTGTCATTTTGGGGATTTATTTCTTGCACCTAGGTCATAAGATCTCTTCATTTGTATATAAAAACATCCTGTAACATGTCTTTCTGTCACTTTTTCAGAGATGTCACCATTTGAAGCATTTTTTGCTAGACAAAATAATAAATTTTCAAGGCAACCTGATATTTCAAATGAGAAGGTAGGTTGTGTGCAATTGAGTGTTATGCTAATTTATCAAATTTTGATACAGTTAATTGTAATTTCAAATGAAATTGAAGCTCTAATATTATTACTGTAATATCTCCCTTGAATATCTTTCCTTGACTTAAATGTTTGATTTAATTTTGTCCAAATCTGAACTCTGTTTCAATTGCAAGCAAATTTGCCCGAAATTGATATTTGCAAATTCTTGTGATAAAACATAATTCAGAATGGTTTCAAATTTAATTTTCAGGTTCTTAGGGGGATCTCTCTCCTCTCTCAGATTTGTTCATGTATCGTTGTGTGTGGGTGTGGTCATATTTGCAGGGCTTGAACTTCACGGAGGCCATTGCCTAGATGCCCCACCTGATTGCCTTGGTGCCCTTTGAAATTTGAAAATTTTCGCCATACAATTTCAATGAGACCAGGGCACTGCTATAATTTTTGGCCTTGAAAATGGGTGCCCTCACACTTACAAAGTTCAAGCCCTGTATTTGTTTGTAAACAGCTGGTGGGGGGGTTACTTGTTTTACTTGTACTGATTGTTTGAAAACCCACTTGGAATTCATAGGGAAGAGTGGAGTTTTCCAGGCCTGGATCCTGTGGGGAGGATTCACCTTCAACAATGTTGTCAGAATGGATAACAGTGGCAGATGTGGTACGTGGTAAAGCTCTTCAATCAAACAAAAATGAATCTGACAAAATGGTTCAGAGAGAAATGTCAAAGCATGCTATATCAATGTATGACATCAATGATAATGTGTTGGTGAAAGTTAAGCCAAAAACTAAATTGTCAGGAAAGTACAAGACAAGTGTAGTAGAGGGAAAAGTAGTTGATTTTAATGATGACACATCCATGTACAAAATTGAGTTACTAACAGGAAACACCAAGTGGTTTTCAGTCTCAGAACTGACCAGTATGTGTAGGGCGAAAGAGAAAGAAAACAGGTCTAAAGGTAGACAATTTATGGATTTTAAAATGTTAACAAGTTATTAAAGTTCATTTTAATTTAATGTGTTTAATATACTTGATCAATGAAGACACTGAAACATACTGTAACAAAACAGGGAGGATCTGGGTGATATCTACAAGAAATAAATCACACCAAGCTGCTTGCTATTATTGCTTTGTGCAATACTGGGTTTTAAGCAGCACCACAGTTTCTACTCGGGTGTATACAATTTTTGGCATGTTGCCTGACATTTTGAGTGGCCGAGTGAATGCTCATGAATTTCGGATATCTGCGAAGGTTTCACCCAGGTCCAGGCTCCTTAAAAAGTAGAGACTTTGCTTTGACTATATGGCATACAACTGTCTATTATGGGCAACTTATACTAGTATACTACCAGAACTCAAGACCAAAGCCAATTAAATCACCTAAGAACAGCCAATAGTAATATCAGTATGTTATTCCAAAAGATAAAGTCTGCTAAGATTCAAGGTTAACACTCTTTTAGCCAATATATATTTTGTGTTATCCTACCGACACCATAAAAAAACATTTTGGGGGCATTTTTGTCTGATACCTTAATACCATAGCCATTTTTGCACATTGTCCCTTTTGGTTTTACATCTCCTGAACATTAGAATATGGAATATTCTTACAATTTCTTGTATGCATAATATCTAATATGATGTCTTTTATGGATTGGGCCATATTGCTGTTGATATGGATTTATGGTTTATTATGGTATCAGCTATTATGGACATTACGGCTTTTTATGGTAAAATTAGTTACACTTAGATTGAATATGGTAATTTATGGCATTTTATATGATACTTGATTGTGTAATGGTATATTATGGCTTCAAATTTTATGGTAATATATGGTGTCAGAGTTCACTAAACCATGTGTTACTATAGCATCAGGATTTCATTAAAATTTGATACACAGGTGC